ACCAGGGCAGGCGCAGCCTGAGGACTGCTGTCCTGCACACCATGGAGTCACCAGGGCAGGCGCAGCCTGAGGACTGCTGTCCTGCACACCATGGAGTCACCAGGGCAGGCGCAGCCTGAGGACTACTGTCCTGCACACCATGGAGTCACCAGGGCAGGCACAGCCTCACCTGCTGTTCTTATATCACCGTCACTTGTAGGATACATCCCTCTGGCCACACTCAGTCCAGCTGAAAGTCTACAGACTCCTCAGTCTGTCTGCGAGGCAGCTGTCTCCACGTGGCCCCTCCCTCCTACCTGCTGCTCCCGTCCTGCTCTTCGTAGTACCTTCCGTCGCTTGCTCCTTGTGTGCTTCTCCTCCCGTGACCTGGGGTCTTCCCAAGCTGACCTTGGGGGGCACCGCAGAGCTCCGCTGTGTCTTCCCTGCTGCAAAGTGGCCTTGCGCCCCTCAGCTCTTACCTGTTTCCACAGGGACAGAGATGGGAGGGTTAACCGGGGACTGCAGGGCTTGGTGGCCATGTCCCTCCTTTCCCTTTTACTGGAACTGTGGACCGTCCAGGGCAGAGTCCAGCTCTGGAGTACTTCAGCCGTCACCTAGAAGCATTTCACAGTCCCCTGAGCTCCATGGTTGTGGAGAGCCGGGTCCACAGCCATCTCCAGCACCTCCACTAGCCGAGGTCTTGGGAAAGGGCCAGCCAACTCAGAAGCCCCCACTTCCTTGTTTGAGGGCCCTGTTCTCTTAGTAGAGAGGCAGGTGTCTGCATGTGGGGGACAGCACAGGACCAAAGCCTGGGACAGATGGCCCGCGTCCAGGAACATAACGTACCGTGGTGTGTGGCCAGACTGCCTTGCTGGACTCCCTGCGTGGTGTCCTCAGGCTGAGCCGAGGCTGCCTGAGCCCAAGTCCCCAGTACCCTCTGGACCCCTCGCCTACCATCTGTTTGCTACACCCGCTTCCCATGTCCTTCCAGCGGCTGCCCCGGGACCTCTCTTAGCTCTCTTTTGTGTCCTCGTCACTCTTTGTCCAGGAGTGGAGGTGAGAAGTGTCACCTCGCCTTCTCTTTTGGAATATGGCACCTCTTCTCTGTGCGGGCCCTGCCTGCCGTCCCCTCAGGTCAGGGCTTGCTTTGCTTGGGTGGTGGCACCTGGCCAGGCATGTGGCCGTCTGAGGGTGACCTGCCACCCTGCTTCAGGCAGTGTCCTCCGCAGGTTGACGGCAGAGGATGGCGCCCACCTTGGAAGGCAGCGCCCGTGACCTGTGGCCAGACTTCCCCACGGGTCCCCTGAGCAGGTACCGGGCCCGCGCGTCCTTCAGTGGCGCGGAGCTGCTGCTGTTCTTGGAAGGCGAGGACGTGGTCCGCTTTAAGGTGAGGCGCTTGGCGCTGCGGCGTGTGCTGGTGGCGTCCTTGTCCCCTGGTGGAAGTGGGTCTGCAGCTCTGAGCTGCGTGGCGTCCTGGGGCTGCCTCCTCTGTGAGAAGCTGATCCTGGGCCACCATGGGCCGTTCTCGTCTTTGTAACCCTGGACGGGCCTCAGGGAACCGACCAGAGAGACAGGAACAGACCCCCAGTCTCAGCTCCTACCTCAAGCCCCTTGTCCCTCAGTTGGGAGCCGTCTCCTCGGTGGTCCTGGGTCAGACTGTGTCCCCAGCAGCTCCAGCCTTGAGAACTGTGTGGGTGGGGGTGAATGGAGTCCCGTCCTTCCTCCATGTCGGCCGCGCTGTCTCCTTGTTTCCAGAAGACCATCTTCTCGGCTCTGGAGAAGGACCCCCTCTTCGCCCGTTCCCGTGGGGCCGACCTGCCCCTGGAGAAGTACCGGGAGCTCAGCTTCCTTCAGTGCAAACGGGTGCTGGAGTATGGCTTCTTCAGTGTGGAGGACCTGGCAGCAAGCCCGCTGAGGGTTTGGGCCCTGATCCACTGCCTGGGCATGTACGACTGGTCCTTGGCAACCAAGTGCTTCCTGCACCTGCTGGTGAGTGCACAGTGCAGGCCACTGCACATGGCCACACGCAGCTGGATGGGGGCCACCGCCATGCTTCCCCAGGTAGCCAGCAAACCACAGGCAAAGCTGCACACTTGGATGAGACCTGGTGTCCGAGACTCGAAGGCCCATGCCAGATCCTGGGCCTTGTGTTCCTTTTTGCTGTGTGTGTGTGACCAGTGGGAATAGGAAGGTGGCCAAAGGGAGGTGGCCACTACCTCCTTCCCACACACTGGTACGGGACTGGGCAGGCTATGGCCCTCGTCCTGGGTGTGCTGTGGGTGGCGGTGGGGCTCTCCCTGCTGTTCACTGTCCTCCCGGCCCCTCTCAACGGCTCAGGACTTCTCGCAGGCCAGAGGTGCCTGCAGGCTGCCTGGCCAGGGACTGGGCCTTGCTGCCAGTGGAGTCCAGGGCCCCTGGGCAGACGAGCCTCGGGAGGTGGCCCAGGTGCGGAGCTGCCGCTGTTCCGGGGGCCTCACTGGGCCAGCATGGTGGCGCGGAGCCAGGGGACGTGTAGATGTCACGTCAGCCTCCAGTTCCTGAGCAGCAGAGGTTCTTAGCCCCGTCTGTTTACCTGATGGTGTTCCTGCAGGTTTTCGGGTCGGCAGTCTACAACTCCGGTTCTGAAAGACACTTCAAATACATTGAAAAGATCTTCAACACAGAGGTAAGGTCAGCGCCAAGAATGGCCCGGCCTTCCTCCCTGTTCTTGGGATTTGGGGAAGGGCAGCGGTAGGAGAGGCCCCTGGAGGTTGTGGCCATCTTATCTAAGGGGAGTCTCGGGCCACGTCCACTCCCCAACCCGCACACAGTGGGCTCTGCTGCCCGCCCAAGCCGGGGCCTGGTGCTGCTTCCCGGGCCTGGAGCAGTTCCCACCACCCTGTGACCCAGAGAGGGCTGTGGCTGGTCTGCCTGTCATCTCACGAGGTGGCACCCGGTCCCATGGGATGCAGCCAGGTCAGAGCTGGGGAGGCAGGTGAACGGCGATGGGCGGGCCCAGTCAGTTCTGCCAGGACAGGTGGGGCAGGCCCTCAGGAACAGCTCGCCTTACGTACTTTGCACTTGGACTCCTAGATTTTTGGCTGTTTCGCTCTGACTGAGCTGAGTCACGGGAGCAACACCAAGGCCATCCGCACCACCGCCCACTACGATCCCGCCACCCAGGTGGGCCCCCCTTCCCTCCCCTTCCCTCCCCTTCCCCGTGGGAGTGTTGGGAATGGGGTGGTCACTAACGAGGAGACCCATCTCAGCCGGTGCTCCAAGATGCACACTGAGCCTCCCAGGTGCTGGAGAGCTGGTGTCCGTGCCCCACGACCCAGGGTAGAGTCCAGGTGCTCTGGTTTGTGCACCTTGAAAGCCAGAGAGGATACCACTGTTGTGGGGTTCACCGCTCTGCTCGCCAGCAGGGCTGGTGCTGCGTGTGCGTGGTCCAGTCACCTGCACGTTGAGTTCTGCGTCTCTCACTGCACACCTGCCCTGGTCTCACACACCTGCCCTGGTCTCACACACCTGCCATCTCTCACTGCACACCTGCCCTGGTCTCGCACACCTGCCCTGGTCTCACATACCTGCCCTGGTCTCGCACATCTGCCATCTCTCATTGCACACCTGCCCTGGTCTCGCACACCTGCCCTGGTCTCACACACCTGCCATCTCTCACTGCACACCTGCCCTGGTCTCAAACACCTGCCATCTCTCACTGCACACCTGCCCTGGTCTTGCACACCTGCCCTGGTTTCACATACCTGCCATCTCTCACTGCACACCTGCCCTGGTTTCACATACCTGCTGTGGTCTTGCACACCTGCCCTGGTCTCGCACACCTGCCATCTCTCACTGCACATCTGCCCTGGTCTCGCACATCTGCCATCTCTCACTGCACACCTGCCCTGGTCTCGCACACCTGCCCTGGTCTCACACACCTGCCATCTCTCACTGCACACCTGCCCTGGTCTCACACACCTGCCATCTCTCACTGCACACCTGCCCTGGTCTCGCACACCTGCCCTGGTTTCACATACCTGCCCTGGTCTCGCACATCTTCCATCTCTCACTGCACACCTGCCCTGGTCTCGCACACCTGCCCTGGTCTCGCACACCTGCCTTGGTCTCACACACCTGCCCTGGTCTCGAATGCCTGCCCTGGTCTCGCACACCTGCCATCTCTCACTGCATACCTGCCCTGGTCTCACACATCTGCCCTAGCCTTGCACGCCTGCCGTGGTCTCACAGCCACACCGAGCGCACAGAGGCGGCAGCTCGTTCTCCACCTCACGCCTCTGTCCCTCATCCACCCATGTGTCCACGGGACTCCTGGGCATTCGGGGATAGCCTCATTCGTGGAGCTTGTAGACCAGAGAGACCGCAGGTGAAACAGGCTGCCACCCCGGAGAAGTCCAGGGGACGAGGAGGAAGCGCGGGTGCTCGGCCCTCCCACTCAGCCCCGCGAGGAGCGTGGTCTTAGCAGACAGAGTATTTTGCGTACATTTTATTGTTTGCAATGTTGCTTGTCATTTCTCAAGTCTGTAAATCACAGGCGTGGGAGATGCTTCCTTTAAAAATAAGGCCCACTTTGCAGTAAAGGAAGTCAAGTGCCTCCTTTTGACTCTTGAAGAGGACCCGGGGGAGGCGTGCGCCTTGGTGCTGACCACCGTGTCACTCTTCCTCTCGCAGGAATTCATCATACATTCGCCCGATTTTGAAGCTGCCAAATTCTGGGTTGGGAACATGGGCAAGACGGCGACTCACGCGGTGGTGTTTGCCCAGCTGTACACGCCAGGGGGCCAGTGCCACGGGCTGCACTCCTTTGTGGTGCAGGTAGGGTGCCAGGGGGACCAGTGAGGGGCACCAGCAATGGGCACCAGTGAGGGGGCATCAGCGGGGGAGACCAGCGAGGGGCACCAGCGGGGGGTGCCTGAGGCCCCCATGGCTTCTGTGAGTGCAGGTTGGGCCTGGGGAACCGGGGGAGCCGCTGGGCAGTCCCGCCGCAGGCCGCCCGCCGCAGCACTGCAGGCTGTGGTTAGCCTGATGCCAAACGTGCTCAGAGGATCGTGCGTTCTCCAAGGCATCCAGGGAAGCCCACGGTGTGCAGGGCGCCGTGGGTCCTGCCCAGTGGAGCTGCCAGCCCAGGGGAGAGGCAGGAGGAGGCGAGTGGAGTCCCGAGCCTTGGCTGGTGGAGGTGTGCGCAGGCTCGAGGGGCCCTCGGGTTGGGTTGGCAGTCCCTTAAGTGTGGAAGTGTGAGATGTGAACTGCACAATTAAATATTTCTGAGATAAGTTGACCTACACTATTTCTATTTTCGTCTTTAGAAGTCTTTCCTTGATTCAAGAGTTTTAAGGATATTTATAATCACTACATTATCATTTTACTTCTGGATGAACTGAAAACTTGCATTCATAGTCTTTTTGTTTCATTACTTGAAAAATACCAATTGTTTTTTAATTTCCCTCCTCTGTGTTAGCTGTCTGCTGCTGTGACAAAACGTCTGAGATAATTTACTTTTAAGGAGGAAAGGTTTACTTTGATTTGTGGCTTCAGAGGTTCTGTCCATGGTTGCTTGGCCCATCACGGGAGGCCTTTGGTGGGAGTGGGTGTGAACCCGCAGGCCTCTTGCTGGTCAGGAAGCAGGGAGAGAGGAAGGGGCTGGGGTCCCAAGGGTTCCTTCAAGGGCATGCCCCACGGATGTGATTTCCTCCTTTAGTTCCCATCCCTAAAGTTTTCATCCTCTCCCAAGTGCTAAGCCTTCAGCACGTGGCCTCTGGGAGACATTTCAGATTCAGTCCATAATGTCCTATCATCCCTGGCCCCCAGAGGCTTCTCTCTCTCCCCCTCTGTTGGTACTGGGGTAACCCAGCTCTGCTTAACCACTGAGCTACACACCCAGCTTGTAAAAGTCTTGTCATTTGAGACATGGTCTTGCTAAGTTTCTTCAGGCCTTGCTAAGCTGTTGAGGCTGGCCTCAAACTTGCAATCCTCTTGCCTCAGCCTCCCAAGTTGCTGGGATGATCGGTATGTGCCACCGTGCCTGTCTCACGTCCACCTCATAATGTGAAATGCATTCAGTTAATTTCCAAGAAAGACCAAAGTTTTAACTGTCCCACCATTGTTCAAAAGTGCAAATACAAAGTCTCTGAGTCTTAAAGGCAAATTTTTAGCTGTGAGCTTTATAAAAATTAAAATACAAGTTACATACCTCCAAGATACAGTGGTGGGATAGGATAGACATTCCCAGTCCCAAAGGAGGAATAGACCATAGAAAGAAGGAATTAGACCAAAGCAAGGCCAAAACCCAGAAGGGCAAACATTTAACCCTGTAGTTCTGGCACCTTTGGCACATAGTGGTGTGATGTGAACTCGAAAGTGCTCAGGCAGCCAGGCGCGTGGCACACACCTATAATCCCAGTGACTCAGGAGGCTGAGGCAGGAGGATAGAAAGTTCAAGGCCAGCCTTAGCAATGTAGTGGGGCCTCAGCAACTTAGTGAGACCGTATATCAAAATGCAAAATAAGAAAAGGCTGGGGATGTGGATCAGTGGCAAAGCACCCCCGGGTTCAACCCCTGGTACTAAAAAATAAAATAAAAGACCTGGGCAGCCCCACCCCTGCGGCCCTGCTGGCCGAGAGCACTGGGCCTCTCCCTGGGCCTGGCTCTGCTCGCTGCCTGCATTCCGCGTGGCAGGCAGGCCCCCTCCTCCTAGCTTGCTGGCATCTCACCGTGGCTTCGGCTTTGCTTTCCCAGCGTCACACGCGGCCCTCTGTGGGGGGGTGTCTAGGGATTCTGACCCTGCCCCACACCCCTGGCCTCTCGGGATTCCTAGGGGATCTTGGCGGAAGCCTCCATGGCCCCTGTGTGCCTGCAGCACCAGCACCAGCCGGGCACGGGGGCCCACGCCTGTCATTCCAGTGGCTCAGGAGGCTGAGACAGGAGGATCACAAGTTCAAAGCCAGCATCAGCAAAAGTGAGGTGCTAAGTATCCCAGTGAGACCCTGTCTCTAAAGGAAATATAAAACAGGGCTGGGATGTGGCTCAGTGGTCGAGAGCCCCCCAAGTGCAATCCTCAGTACCAAAAGAAACAAACAAAAAACCAACACCAGCACCACGTGGACAATGCCAAGGCCTGCCGTCCACGGGAGGCCCACAAAATGTCAGAACACAGAGAAAATGTAGACAAGTTCTTTGTCTACACAGGAGCATGAACAGTGCCAATCCAGTTCCCCACAGAGGCCTGTTCCCATCTGAACGTCACGAGCCTGGCCTTTACTGTCTGAATTACTGTCAGCCTTCTGCTCTTCTGAGCTGGACCAGAATTTTCCATGAAGCTCTTTATACCACCGAGGCTTTCTCTCACCTGCTCCACCAAACTTGTCTGAATTCTCCTGCAAACCAATTCCAAAGGCTTCTGAAGCTGTACGTCGTCAGATATAGTCGCAGCAATGACTCCGATTCTTGGTACCGGTTTTCTGTATTAGCTCTCTCTTGCTGTGATGAAATCGCTGAGATAATGTACTTAAAAGGAGGAAAGGTTTATTTTGGCTCATGTTTCAGGGGCTTTGGTCCATGGTCACCTGGCCCGGTGGCGTTTGGGCCTGTGGAGAGGCTGCACACCCTGGGGGGAGCAGAGCACAGCCTTCACTTCCCAGCATCAGGGGCAAAAGGAAAAGGGAGCGCCGGCTCCCACCCCCGGGCACCCGCTCCTGCAGCCCCTTCAGCCCCCCGCAGCCCCCTCCCCTTCCAGGTTCTCTCTCCTGGCCTTCGGGGCAGTCAAGGGCCAAGCCGGCCACTCTTCATTTCTGTTTTTTGAGCTGCTTTTTAAATGGCATTTATTTCAAAAGATTTTTTTTAAATTTGCTTCTGACTCTTCACTGAGCCTTATTGAAAGACTGGAAAAGGGAGAATATGTCTTGTGTTTGGATTTTGGCCCTTTAAATACTTTAAATATCTTTATTTTTAATTTCAATTAAGTTAGACCATTGCTTTACCAGATAAAAGCTGACGTGAGTTTTAAGTGATCTGACCTCAGCTTCCTCTCCTTCCTCTCTTGCTCTTCTCTCTGTGCTGAGCACTCTCTTCCAGGGCTCCGCCCTGCCATCGGGGTTCCTCCCCGCCTCAGTGGACAACCGTCCTGCGGCCGTCCGTGCCTCTAGGGTATTCAGCAGCCTTGGCCTCTACCACAGGACGCCAGTGCTGCCCCTTAGCTGGGACAACCACATATCTCCAGACACGGCCTCCGAGCTCTGGAGGGGCGGGTGGTGGCCGCTCCTTCGCCACCAGAAGTCCCCGTGCTAACATTCTCATGGAATGAAACCGTGTCCTGTTCACGGAGCAGGGGTGAGGGCTGGTCAGCCCGCTGGCTTTGCATGCTTTTAGATAAGTGGGCCTTTGGAAACCCGTCTTGGTGAGTGGAGAGTTGCCACATATCTCGGCCGTCCCTCTCACCGCACATACGTGCCGCCGTGTTGTCATTCTTTTGGAACCCTGCTGTGGCAGGACCTCCAGGTGGCATTTAGGTAGCACGCACCGTCAGCCCTGACTCCGGCCCTGCAGCTGCCCCCACAGAGCCCTGTGGCCACCGGCCTCACCACAGCGGACAGCCGCCTTCTCAGTTCCGCAGGCTGCAGGCTGGGGGCTGGGCACTCTGGTTGCATTTCAGGAGCTGAATGTCTGAAGTCCAGATGCAGCAGCGGCTCCCTCTGAGGCTGTGGGGTGGCTCCTCCCTGCATCTCCCAGCTCCTGGCAGCTCTGGGCATCCTTGGCCCATGGCCACCTCTCTCCAGTCTCTGCCTGCACCCCAGTCACATGGCTTCCTGAGTATATGTCTCCCTGGCCCCTTGTAAGGATCCTTGTCCTTGAATTTAGAGCCACCAGGTGTTTGGGGTGACCTTGTCTCGAGACCAGCCTTCAAGGCATCTGCACAGACCCTGTTTCCGCATGATGCCGCTTCCCAGGTCCAGGGCAGCCCCTGGGCCTACGCTCCCAGAGGAGATGGCGCGACCCACAGCTGCGCAGAGTGGCCCCTAGCTCAGCCACGGGTCTGGCCACACTCGTTTTGCTTTTCCTGTGATCCTAACAAGCACCATTTGTTGCTCTCCACAACTTCACAGATTCGGGACCCGAAGACCCTTCTTCCCATGCCAGGGGTGATGGTTGGCGACATAGGGAAGAAGCTGGGGCAGAACGGGCTGGACAATGGGTGAGTGTCGGGCTCGGCTTGGCGGTCACAGAGCTGCCCCTCCAGGAACCCTCGCTTGTGCTGGGCTTTTGCAGGAGCCTCAGAGCTGCCCTTGCCTGGAGGCTCCCGTGGGCCGCTCTAGGCAGTAGGGACCCTTGCCTGCCTCCCTGCCAACAGCTGTCCCCTCCAGCAGGTGGCGCTCCCAGGCCTCAGCCAGGCCCAGCCCCTTCCCTCCATCTGGGGGCCTCAGCCTGGGCTAAGCTGGGTGCCAGGCCACCTCCTTGCAGCCAGGTCCTCGGGACTCAGCCTCAGCACCCTGCTCAGAACCCTAGGACCTGGTCCACAGTTGTGCCTCGCCCTGGGCTTGCTCCTGGTGATCCTGTGCAATTCGGAGGAGGTTTGCTGGTTGATCTGTTTGAAACCTACTCAGTGGCTCTTGCTGGGGCAGGAACTGGCTTAGAGCTGGGTGGAAGATGGTGAGCACACGGGGGTCTCTGCCGCCTGCAGCACAGGTGTGAAGCAGGGTTGATGCAGGTGTGGGGGGTTCCGAGCGCGCAGGTGGATGTGCAGACGTTGGCTGGGGAGCAGCCCGAGAAATCTTTAGTGAAAGCTTGATGTCCAGGTAGAGGCCCTGCGCTTAGCAGGAGGTGGCAGGTGACTGGGGACAGCACAGTGTGAGGCTCCAGGGTGCGCAGCCAGCTTGCGGAGGCCCCGGAAGCCTTGTCACTGAGGGACAAGAACCTCAGGTGTGGAACATGGAGAGCATGAGCCCTGTGCCACCTCAGCTGACTTTCCTGGCCAGGGCCCTCGTCGGTGCAGTGGTGTGTCCCCATGTCAGGGCCCTGTGTGGTCCCCAGGAGGAGCCAGGAGAGGGCTCTTGGCCCTAACTGTGTCAGTGCCTCCCCCCCTGCACACAGGACCCAGAACTGGCTCCAGGTGAGCCCGGCCCGAGAGAGGGCACAGGGAGAGGGGGTCCCCGAGTCCTGGAGGCTCCTGTGTGCAGGGGAGCAGTCCTGCCCTGCCGTGGGGCTCTGCTGGCCCACTCCCAGCCCCTGCCACGTGGGTGACCTGGGCTCCAGGAGGAGGTGAGCCAGGTGGTCGCCAGACACCCGCCTGGAGAGACCTCCTTTCATCTTCCCTCCCCAGAAGTCGGGGGCTGGGCTGGGAGGGTCTCTGCTTGGTCACAGCAGGTTTTGTCACAGCTTGAGAAAAGCGGGTCTCGTCACTCCTCTGTTGAGAGTGCAGGTGTGCGTGGCCAGCAGCTCTGCCACCGCAGGGCCTCTCTGACCCTCCGCTGACCTTACAAACCAGCATCATTTGGGAGCACACAGAACGACCTGCCCTTGGCTCCCCTGAATCAACTCCTGCTTCTGGAGGAAGAATGGTCTCTAGGTGGACGGTGCCCCCGCAGCACCGGTGAGACCGCTTCAGGAGACACGAGGACGTGGCCAGGCTCTTCTGACGGCCAGGAACGCCCCTCTCCCGAGTCCCTGTGGGCAGTGGGGTCAGCCCGAGAAGCCAAGAGCTCCTCTGAAGCAGAGTCCCTGCTGTGGGGCCCGTGGTGTCTGCCACATGCTGGCCGCAGGAGGCCTGGAGCTGGGGAGCACCCAGCTTCCCACACCAGCCTGGCTCAGCTGCCCTGTTCCCTCCGCCAGCGGCGGGCTTGCCCAGCAGAGGGCGCCCGCGGCCCAGACGCAGCCCTGCCTCTGTGGTCCTGCTTTTCTCTGCTTTAGGGCTGTTCCTGGCGCTGAGCCACACGGCTGAGGGTCGCCTGGATTTCTAGCAGCCACACACCTTGGGGACTCCCGTGAGTGGCCAAGGCTCACCTGCTCACTGCTACCACTTTTTCCACAATAAATGATCTTGAAAGGGGTGAAGAGAGCAGGACCTGCACAGAACAGGGTCACCTGTGGTGTCCTGGGCAGAGGACGCCTTACCCACCTCTGTGGGGTGGGGAGCCGTGACGGGCTTCCTGGAGGGGGCTGCAGCCCAGCTGCCCTCTGAGGAGCACCAGAGGCTGCCCAGGAAAGGCAGGGAGGGCCCAGGCCAGGAGAGAGCCTGGGGGGTCCAGGTGTCTTGAGTTGGTAGACCCGGCTGCTGGAGAGGCTGGGTCAGGTGAGGGTCACCCTGCATACGGGTGCAGGCAACTGGGGAGTGGGTGTGGGCTGGGCTCACCGGGCTGTGGCAGTGTCAGAGCGTCTCTGTTCCTGCTGGTGCTTGATGGAAACGGCTAGGGTGGACTGAGAGGGGACGTCCACAAGCCAGGTTTCAAGGAGGACAGGTGTTGGGAAAGGAACACCTTCCTTGTCCAGCAGGCCGTCCCCCACCTCCTGACCCCAGCCGGGACAGCTGTTCACCACTAATGAGGTCTTCTTTGGTTTCACAAGAGCCGTCCTCTCTGACGTTGTGAGTGATCTTAGTCACTGGCGGGGTGGCTTGAGGAACCACCGACGTGTCTGCTTGTGTTTGGGGTTTTGATTTGGGGATGGTGTGCAGAACGCACATCCCTTGATGTACTGTGTCGCCCAAGCTGTTGCCAAAGGGGTCCCCTGACCTGACGACCATCACGACATCTTCATGTTTAACTCATGCTCAACCGTAAAGGTGACCACGTGACCATCTCTCAGCACTCGGAAGGGACAGGTCACCTCCTTTGGGTTCCCCGGCCACACCAGGAACCCCCGGCTGCCCTTGGGGAGCGGGAGGGGCTGCAGAGGCCAGAGGAGGCCAGTGTGGACGAGGTGGCCACACAGCTCTTTGCTGTGTCTTGCGGGTTTGAAGCCTCCGTCGCGCTCCTTGCACCCGGGGCTCAGGCATGTGGGTGACACATGAGGAGAGTCAGAGCAGCCGCCCTCAGGGCCAGCTGCCGTCCTGCCAGCAGCCCAGGTGCTGCGCTGCCCCATGCCCTGCGCGTCCTCCAGGAACACCTTTGTCCCATGGGGCGGAGTCCTGGCTGTATGCTCCCCCAGGTGCAGGCTACCACGCCCTGCCCTTGGGGTTGTGGCACCTTTGTGCTGCCCTCTGGGGACAGGAGGGAGCCCAGGGCCACCCCTAACAGAAGCCACCCTTTCTTCCCCACAGATTCGCCATGTTCCACAAGGTCAGGATTCCTCGAGAGGACCTCCTGAACAGGACGGGGGATGTCACCCCTGAGGGCACCTACGTCACCCCCTTCAAGGTAGGAGCATTCTGCAGGGCATTTGTGGCCCGTCTCCCTGGGCACCTCCCCTGCAGGGCCTGCCAAAGCCCTGAGCAAGGCCCTGCCCCTGGAGGCCCTGGGCACGCCTCCTTAGCTTGGGTTCTGTGTCCCCAGCCAGGGCAGGGACTTGGTCACACGGTACCGGCTGCAGGGTGAGCCCGGCCTGGCAGCAGGCTCAGGCTGATTTGGGGCGTCCACGCCCATGGGGTTCCAGTTGGGGGATTCTCCCCAGCGCTGTCACCTGAGGGTCCACAGGGAGAGGCTGCTGGAGAGCTCCACGCTTGGCAGCCAGCAGGGCTCTCTGCGTCCAGGACTCGACACTCCTCCCCAGAGATCTGTGGCCTGAGGGGAGGGGGCCCTGGGCTGAGGTGAAGCCTCAGGGCTGTGAGTCACGGCCAAGACCACTGAGGCCAAGGATGGGCATCAGAAAGGCACTCTGGGGACACCTGTGTCACCTGGCAGTGAGACTAGGGTAAGGGACACACAAGGAAAGACGGAGCACTCTGAGGCTGGAAGCCACGGAGCATGTGACCTTGAGCTGTGAAAACATCACCCTGACATGAAGCCGGGGGCCTGGAGAAGGAGCTCTGGAGGCCACAGGACAGCCCGAGGGCCAGGTGGCACCTGATGCCCACCGGGAGCGGGAGGGGCTGCGGAGGCCCTGGGGAGGCCGGGTATGGACGAGCAGTCTGCAGACGGACAGGACGGGGTCCTTGGGGGAGGACCTCATGCTCCCAGGGGAGCAGACGCCAACTGGGCAGGAGCAGGAGAGGAGCTGGGGGACTTCAGAGGAAAGTCCTGGAGCCCTCAGGTCCGATGGCAGTGAGCAGAAGTCACGGGGGCAAGTGACTGTGAGCACGTGTTCCCACGCCAGCAGAACTGGCGCTGGGGTGCGGCTCCCCAACCCGCAGCATTTCGGAAGATGACTCAACACCTGGGGTAACAGCAGCCAGGCGGGAGGGGACAGGGCCTTGGGAGACTGTGCACTGGACGTGTCACAGCCCCACCAGGGACCCTAACTGCTTATGGCAGGAGGAGACGCGACCAGAGGGTGAAAACTGGAGGTGCTCTGAGACCCACCCACTCCACAGGGACATAGAACACGGGCGTCTGTTAGCCCCTTAGATTGGGTCCTCGGACAGGGTTGGGGATAAAAGGAACCTATTTTTCCAGCAGAATGTCGGGCCAGAGACGCACTCCCAGACTGTGGGCACCCTGCTGCCCCTAGCCGCCCGGGCCATCGCTGCCTACTGCCCGGTGCACACAGGGCCTGATCCCTAAAGAGGGCTCCTGCAGAGCTGTGGCCTGCCGTTCCCTCCTCCTGGAGCGCCCCTTCCTCCCGCAGCTGGGGTCCCCTCCTCCGCCCATGGTTCACTGGTGGCAGCTGCCGTCTGCGGGCCCAGCCGCCGTCTGTGCCTGGAGGCTGGCTCTGGGTGCCCCAGGGCTCACGGGAAGGAAGGGTCGCCTTCGTCTTTGGCCCACGCGCAGTGCCTGCTTCTCTTCCTCAGGACACCAGACAGCGCTTCGGAGCGTCACTGGGCAGCCTGTCCTCTGGCCGGGTGTCCATCATCGGCATGTCGGTGGTGAACCTGAAGCTGGCCGTGTCCATCGCGCTCCGCTTCTCGGCCACTCGGTGTCAGTTTGGACCAACGGAGGAGGAGGAGGTCCCCGTGCTCGAGTACCAGCTGCAGGTGTGGGCTTCCTGCTCCCTGCTGCCCAGGAGCCGCTTCTCTGGGCTCCTGGGAGCTGGTCTAAGCCGTTGGCAGTGAGGGGACAGGCCCCGGTGTGTCCCAGGGTGTGTAGAATGGCCACAGCAGGGGCCGCGGCAGGCCAGCCGGGCGGGGTCTGGGCAGCAGGCACGCTCACCTGATACGGCCGTGAGGTCCCACAGCTGTGGCAGGTGGTGGGCCGCCTGTCCACCTGTCATCCATTCCTTCCCGGAGACATGATTCCCAGGGAATGATTTTCAGAAGCCACAGCTGAGTGTGGAGCCCTGTTCCCTGTGGTGGCTTTTAGGGCTCAGGACAGACACCCAGGCGGCAGTCCAGGCAGGCACAGCCGGGGAGCTGAACCCTCCCATATGCCGGCTCCTGAGGCAGAGGCCCGTGCCTTGCTGGACCTGGGACTGTGCGGCGGGCCTTTGCAGCCAGGCAGTCGCCTTGTGATCCCCACGACACAGGTGGGGACCGAGGATTAGATAGTGAGGCTCAGAGCTCAGTGGGTAGCTCTGGTCAGGCTGGGGGCGGAGCTGTGCGTGAGCAGGCGTGTCCAGTGAGTCTTCGGGGTGTGACTACTGCGCACCTTTCCGTGCACTGAGGCTGAGGTGCCTCCATGCCGAGGGGAGTAGGCCTGCCCACCCCGGCCCCCTCTTCCAGCTGCAGGTCAGGAGCCCAGGGCAGCTCAGCCACAAACCCAGCCCCACCCTGACGGGAGACAGGGCCTGGGCCAGTGCCCTGTCCCCATGTCCAATATTGGGTCTGTGTGGTGCTGCTGGTGACACTCTTCCCGGGTCTCAGGGATTGGATAATTTTGTACTCGGAGGTAGCCAGTGCAGCCTTTGTGCCTGGCAAATATGGGACCCTGGTGGTGGCAGTTAGCTGGGTTCCCTTCACTTGTCCCCGTCCTGTGCTGATGTGCACAGGTGAAAAGCCCACGCTCTCTGCCCTTGAGCCTAGTTTCCTGACCTCGTGACTGTGTCACCTGCCCCAGGCCTAGGAAGCCCAGGCTGGGGCCCAGCCAGCCTGTGCACCAGGCAGTGTCCTCTCAGTTCACAAGTGGACTTCCTGGGGGCCTGAGGTCACTGGATGGGCAGTGGCTGGCCCCTCAGGAGGACGCGGGCCATGTCTGGTTTCTTGTAGCAATGGCGCTTGCTCCCCTACCTGGCGGCTGCCTATGCCTTGGACCACTTCTCCAGATCGCTCTTCCTGGACCTGTTGCAGCTGCAGCGAGGCCTGATGCGGGGGGACCATGGGCCCAGGCAGGTGAGGCGTCCACGCTCTGCTTAGCGTACAGGGTTCAGGTTGCTGAGGTCCAGCAGCTCAGATCTGCTGATTTAAAAGTCTTCTCCCGCCCCTCCCTCCGTGACCCCTTCCTGTCTCACTCTCCGTTCCTGTCTTGTCTGAGGGTGGAGCCCAGGGCTGTCAGTGAGCAAGGCTTCCACCACTGAGCCGCACCCCAGCCATGATCCCTAAACAAAGTCAGTGTGTTGATTTGTGAGCACACGGCCCACGACGTGTCCCTCGGCCGTCCGTGCCAGCTGCTCGGGACCTGGCTCGTGCTGCGACTGCAGCTGTCTGGGCTGCGTGCACGCCCTGGCTTCTCAAGCATGTGCTGACACAACTCCTAATTCCCGCCTGAGTTCAGCTCTTGTTCTCCTTTTGAGAATGTGATGGTTTTGCAAAATCCCCGCTGCCAGCCCCTCGGCGGATTTCGTGGTTCTGATCCTTTCATAAACAACGTACAAAGGCTGAGTCCTGCTGACGGGAGTCGAGTTGACAGTTGAGGATCTGTGCAGGAGTGGCGTGCAGGTCCACTGAGATCAGCACGACGTCAGGCGGCCCGTCCGGGTTCCCCTGCACAGACTGGCTTCCTCGCCCCCACGGGCCGCTGCCTGAGTGGAGTGAGACTGAGTCCAGATGAGTGCCCCTGGAAACAGACGAGGACCGCTGCAGCCGGGGTCGGGCTCCGGGTTCTGAAAGCCCCTCCGTGTTGCATGCCGTGGAATGTGGGGTGTAAATGCGAGTGAGCGCTGGAGTCCCCTGGGCACTGGGACAGGTGGAGGGCCTAGTAGGCTTTTCCCTGGCACGAGTCCTGGCTCTGCGGTGTCAGTGGC